CGTCCGCGCGCTAGTCGTCCTTTCCGATACTTTGTCAGAATAAACCTGACATCTGTAAACCTTTGCTTCTTCCCTTTTCCGAAACGCGTGACCAGAAATTAATTAATAACTTCGGAATTTGGCACGCATTTGGCTTCCTCCGTTAACACTTGTTATAGCTCTATAAGTAGTTTAATTCCGTTACGTTGAATGTAAAAAATTAATGTTTAAATTCGTAAAGTAAGGTCCCCCCCCCCCCCTTACATTTCGTTTACACTAATTTTTGTTTCAGACTCGAACCACTACAAAGAATGCAACAGGCAGCGTGTACTCTCTGGCCCCTTTCGGAGAAAGATGCAGTATCCCTCCACCCCCCGGAACATGTGGAAAGTTCTCGTAGCACTTACTTTTGTTTCAGCTGGAATGGTCGACTTCAGCAGAACATTATTGACAGATCTCAAATTTTGACAGCAGGGATAGCACATCCTCCCCCACTCCCCCCATCTTTAGCGTTTATTTGTTTCACACGCGAGTATTTGCAATGAATTCGAATTCATCAGACGATATTTGGTCTTTGTTATGGTGGATACTATTTTTTTACACTTACCTTTGTTTCATGCGCGGAGAAATGCAAAGAATTTAAATTCAACAGGTGGTTACCCGGTCTTAGTAAGCTATTTCTTTTAAATTTGGAGGGAAAGGTCTCTTCCCCCTCTTTTTCATCACAAATATGAAGAAAAGTATTAATTTTGAAAAATAAATAAAAATTATGTTCAACTGAAGCTTGGGGCCCTCTGTCCCTCTGACCCTCCGTCGCTAGAATTTCTCAATTTGCAAGGTAAGTCGTCCCACTCTTACCCCCTAAGGAAATGTATTGCGCTCAGGCCTTTACACTTAATTAATTAATTAAAAATAAAAATGCCAAACATATACATATACAATGTAAAACATAAAATCCTGTTTTTTCCTACTTCCGTTCCCGTGGGAATTTCGGAAAGTGATTTACATCAGAAACCTTCGCGGGCATACGGAATTTGATGCCTTTTGCGGACCACATTCGTATATATTGTGTTTTAGTAGTGTCGAATAACTTAAACACCCCCCCCCCCCCACCATGTACACTCATGATGATTTATACAATTTTTACACTTCTTTTTGTTTCAGGTTGCAATAGCTTAAGCGGTAAGAAGAGATATAGTCCTGAAGACAAGGGTACTTAACTCCCTACCTCCTTCTACAGGCAGGAGGTATATTGGTACGCCTCTTCTTACACGGGCAATCAGTGTTTGACACTTTATTGTACTTCTTCATGTAATATAAAGTTTATTTTTCCAAGATTGTAACTTTTGTTTTTAACTTTGTATAAGTTTTTTGCTTAAAAATGCTATAACTTTCGCCTTTATTGTTGCAGATGAACCTTCACCTACAGTATAACATCACAGAAGCAGAATTTCTGCTGGAAAATTGGAGTTTTTTGCGCTACAGGCTTCTGGGAAACTTTAATTTTCCTGCAATTGTAATTGTCCTTTTTGTTGTTTTTTGCTTAAAATTGCTAACTTTCGCTGCTATTCTTGCAGATCAACTCTTATCTGTCGGAAGACAACGCAAGAGCACAATAGGCGTTACAAAATTGAACTTTTTGGTCCTGGGAAGGATAAATAATGTTTCCCATACGTATCGTATGGAATACAACAAGATGCCAGAAACCAAAAATGCGATTACATTTCCCATAAGACTACCATGAAAGTGGTCGGAGCAAAATAAAAGGAAATTATTGTTGTACGATGACACTTGAGCAAAATAGACTATAGAAAATCGCAGTTTATACGCCAGAGATGTCTTTAAAATTTCTTTTCCTATAATTGTGATTTTTTTTAACTTTTGATACATTTTTTGCTGACTTTCACTAACTTTCGCTGTTTTTGTTGCAGATGAACCCTCATCTGTGGGAAGACAACTCTAGAACACAATAGGCGTTACAAAATTGAACTTTAAATGCTGGACGGTCCTGGGACAGTTTCCATAATCCCCCCCCCCCTCCAATTTTAAATCAAAATCGATTAGTGCGAGCGCGATAATTTTACCCCCCAGACAATTATCGGGAAGATGCCATCGAAATTCCTAGCACAATCTTGCGCAGTATGGATTACTCCTCAGGAAAAATGGATGCGATTGTCCTTTCCCAAAAACGTAGCACCGGGGGGTGTGGGGGAATACCGCCCCCTCCCCCGCAATCGCAAATGCGATTACTTTTTCCCAAAGACCATTGGGAGCAAAATAAAAGTAAATAATTGTTGTAAATCAACCTCCATTTATTGTGCAATAACACTTGAACAAAGTAGACGATGAAAAATCGTAGTTTTTACGCTAGAGATACTGAGGAAATTTTATTTTTCCTATAATTGTGATTTTTCCTTAAATGTTTATACTTTTGCTGTGAGCAGATTAAGCTAAGTCTTGAAAAATGTATCTTCCTTTACAATTATTATTTTTGTATGTGTTTGCTTACGATTGCTAACTTTGTGCTATTTGTTACAGATCAACCTCCACTCAACAACTACGATGAGGTTATTCCTTTTACACTTTCAGGTTGAACGTAGGCGTTACATTGAACTTTGTGTGCTAGAAGTTCTTGGGAAAGATAATGTTATTTATAATTCTCTCCCCCCCCCCATCTCTGCCCCTCTTTTAATCAAAATCGATTTTCTCTGGTGGGGCGAGGAGGTTTGGAATACCTCCCAGTAACCGAAAATGCGATTACCTTTTCTCAAAGACTATCATGAAAGTAGGGAATGCAATACCGGGATCGCGGGATCGCGAAATACCGGGATCCCGCGGGATTAACATCTAGCAATCCCGCAGATACCGGGATTGAGATTTTGCTGCGGGATTGCATTCCCTAGTCACATTCTATAACAAAATTTTTTTTCCGGATCGATCTGAGACAATTTTTTTTCCGGGGCTCAAAAACAGGCAGTGTATAAACCTTCCTTTTTTACCAAAAATCGACTGCACCAAAATTTCTCGGGAAAACACTTTTTCTTATTAATTTTGGTGCGTAGAATCCAAAACAATTCGTATTTTTTCGATCAGACTTCTCAATCAAAAGTTATAGACTAGAAACCAATTTCGAAAAAAAATTCAAAGGGCTGTAACTTTTGAACTAGTAGCCCAATCTGGGAACTGTTTGAAATTATGGATTCTACAGGCCACATTCTATCAGAAAATTTTTTTTCCGGATCGATCTGAGAGAATTTTTTTTTCGAGGCTCAAAAAAAGGCAGTGTACAACCTTCCTTTTTTACCAAAAATCGACTACACCAAAATTTCTCGAGTAAACACTTTTTCTTATTAATTTGGGTGCGTAGAATCCAAATCAATTTGTACTTTTTCGATCAGACCTCTCAATCAAAAGTTATAGAGTAGAAACCAATTTCGAAAAAAAATTCAAAGGGCTGTAACTTTTGAACTAGTAGCCCAATCTTGGAACTAAATTATGGATTCTACAGGTCACATTTAGGGAATGTAATACCGGGATCGCCGGATCCCGAAGACCGGGATCCCGCACTATTTTTGCGGGATTAATCCCGCACATAAATGGAGCGGAATCCCGCAGGATTTGCGGGGCTGAGGAATTTGTCGACCAAGTGGACGACTCTGTTTACTTTGTTAATGAAACGCATAACGGAGAAGTTATTTTTTATATAATTGTTAAACTTTTTTCGTTAAAAATTTATTATGATTTTTGAGGCACTTTAGAAGTTCACCTTTTTGTGCTTTACAGGAGAGGTTTTTTTGAGTTCTAAGTTAGGCCGAAGGTACTTCTTTGTTAAATATTGTGATAATTAGCGACTTATTTTAATGCAGAAGTTAACCGCACAGAATTGCTTAGTTGCCAATTTATTTAAAGTTTTGCGGGATCCCGCAAATACCGGGATCCCGCGGGATTAACATCTAGCAATCCCGCAAATACCGGGATTGAGATTTTGCTGCGGGATTGCATTCCCTACATGAAAGTAATTGGAGTAAAACATAAAAAATGGTCCAATTCTACTTTGCTAAGGGTATTCCATACCCTCCAGACCCCTCAGTGAATTCCTCTTCCTCAAAAACATTTAGTGTTGGCACCTCTCCGACAATTTTCGGGAAAATGCCGTCGAATTTACTACCATAATCTTGCGAGGTATGGATTACTCCTCCGGAAAACAGGATTGTCCTCTCCCAAAAACGTAGCGCCGGGGGGTCTGCAAAATAAAGGGGAATTATCGAGTTCTACTTTGTTGAGGGCACTCTCTGTAGGCTGGGGAGGTGGTAATCCATACCACGATCCTGCGAAGTATGGATTACTCTTCAGAAAATGAATACGATGGTCTTACCCCCAAAAACGTTTTGAGTTACGCCCCTTTGGCTGGAGACCATATCCCTAAGACTCCCCGGTGGTGTATGCCCCCTTATACAGAATACAAATCCATAACTATACAGTTCCATTTAGCATACGTTGTAAATTTCTATTGTAAATAAAATAAAACTAAATAATTGTTGCAAATCAACCTCCATTTGTTGTACAATCACACTTGAACAAAATGGAGGACGGAAATTGTGATTTTTCCGAAAATTGTTTTACATTTTTGCTTATAATCGCTAACTTTCGCTGTTCTTGTTGCAGATCAACCCTCATCTATGCGAAGACAACGCATGAGTGAGAATTAGACTTTGTGCGCTAGCGATGTCGGGAAAAATCGATTTCCCTTTTACAATAATAATTTTTTTTATGTTTTTATACGTTTTTTGCTTACGATTCCTGACTTTTTTCCTGTTTGTTACAGACCAACGTCAAGTTGCTGGACGACAACAGGATTAAGATGGTTGCTAGAACTTCGGACTTTTTGCATTAGAATTTTAATATTTCTTTATTTTTTATTTTGCTTACACTTTCCCCTTTTTTGTTGCAGATCAACCTCCAACCAGGGATAGATTAAGAAAATGCTTTTTATATTCGACATATAGCTACGACGAGTTTATGCCCGAATTGTCGAAGTATATGCCCCCCCCCCCCATCCCTTTTTTGTAGACTTTTAGGTTGACAAAGGTAAGCCCCCCCCTCTCCCCTTCTCTTTCGGTAAATAATTCTTCTAACGCTTGCTTTTGTTTCAGATTCGCCAGAAGACACGGGTCGAAGGAATTCGCAGGCTAAGGTATGTCTCCTTCTCTTCCATACGCAAATTCTCATATTTTGAGTTACTCTGAATCGCAAACGGGATTAGTAGCGCCTTTCTTTGTACGAAACACTCGAAGATAAGACGTGCCCACGTGAGACACGCGCGACACAATTAAAGCTCGAAATCCAAAACAATTTCGCATTCCGTTTGACACCTTTACTCCAATTAAAAATCGTCTCGTTAGAAATGCCATTGTCGCACATGACGAGTGCACGGATCTCTTGAAATTTTGTAGTACTTTTCATGTAGCTATATGATGTTGAGGGCCTTCCAGCGAACTATTGTTAGATCGTGTTTGCACTTCTTCGCACTTTACTTTGACATAGATATTTTTCCGTTGTCGTTCCGGGAGGAGTCGTTAATAAAAAAAACAACCCTACCCCTGTTCGATACAAATAACTATAGATTAAAGCGAAGTAAACATGGTAAAAACATATTTTCCCTCGACGTTACGCTGAATCTCCCCCAAGTAATTAAGAAATGTATTTAAAAAACGGGCAGATACCAGAAAAGTTGCGGTCATATATATTCCTTATACTTTATAGGAAATGGCCTTATGTTTCTCTTTGGCCACGTCTTTTATAAAACGGTTTCTATTTTCCTCATTGTTTTTCAACCCGATTAAGGCTTTTACATTGGAGTGGGATGCAACTGCAAGACGACGTGGTTTGTAAAGAAAGCGATTTTCTTGTGTTCGCTCGCTCTGATAATCCATACTTATTACGTGTTCTTATTCTTTTTCTTACGTTCAATTCGGCTGATGATAAACGATAATAGGTTAGGTAAACGATAGATGTTTTCGCGGCAAAAAATACGCAAATACTAATCGTGCTCTTGTCAAATCTACAATTTAAGACCGGGGTAGTTTTTTTCAATTTGAATTTTCATTGAGGTAGATATTTTCTCGGGAGTATTGATGGGGGGTGGTTGCGTTTAACCGAAAAATTGCAGTAAATTTTACTTATTTTACGCGGATCGCAATAACAAGTAGTAAATTATGTGTATGCTTATTCCTGTATTACGAACGACAACGCTATATTTCCATCCGGGGATGTTTTCTTCGCGATTCCCCCCCTTAATGCCGTGATATGAAATATTTCCCTACTTAAGATGATAGCTTTTCTTAAATTCGTCGCTCGTTGTCGCCTTGGAACTTAAATAAATTATGTGTATTTTTATTTTCGTGTATGTGTGAATTTATCTGCCTGGAAACGGGCCCTCACGATTTATTGTTTGGAAAATTGCCGTTTCACCGTTAAAATTTTAAAATGGGAGATTCTGTTTTCCATTTGTTTAATTTTTCCGATGTGAGACAAGGGTACGTTTATCCGACTACCGAAACACACGCTAAATCTTATATACTTGGACACTTCGGGCATGCGCTCTCTAGAACAATCGGCAACAGAAACTCTTCGCAAGGTGGAAAAATAATATTGTCCTTTTTCCCCACGTTGGGCGCCATAACATGTTGCAATTTTCCCCACGTTACCTGCGCCATTAATAGGCAATAAATGTAAACCACATTTCGAACTAAAAGGCACAGTTGCCGCGAAAAGTTTACACTTTCAGATCGAATTTGAAAATTCTGAAGGGGGTGCGAGGGGGGGGGGCACAAAAAATGTTCGGAAATTGAAATTATTTCCATTGCTGTATATTTCTATGCACCACCCTTTTGAAATTCTCACAAAAATCCACTTTCATTGCTTTCTTTGATTTTTATTTGAAGGTTTGTCGTCAAACTTCGAGAATTCAAAATAAAGCCTGGTCTGCATATGCCTTGAAGCTTTAAATTCGAGCCTCAACTTCAATTTCAGATTGATTGAATTTGAACCTTTCATTTCTAGTATCAATGGTCAGGTTTTGACTTCAACCTAAAACTTCAACTTCAAGATTATACTTCAAGCCTGATTTTCTTTTAAACCAAGCTTGATCTGCATATTTAGTTACGCTTTAAGTTCAATTCCCACTTTCCACTTCAAGCTTTCACTTAATAACAATCTCATGCCACATTGTTAAGCTTCAAACCCACCTAACGTAACGTTTGAACTCGTTTTTGCATTGCATAAGAGAACGGTACTTCATAAATAGGATTGTTTGAATGCTCGTTACACGAAAAATACATCCAAAAACCCATTAATAAATTGGTGTCGGATTGTAATATATATAGAGAAAGATAGGTAATTAAATTAAAACATATGGCATAACCTAAAAAGAAACGTGGTTAACCAAATAAGGCATCCGATCGAAATAATTTTACCTCGGAAAGATCAACAAAACTCATTCACGTAAATACGCTTAGATAAACAATTTGGACAATTTTAACTTGATGGCTTTGGATTTTTAACATGAGATTTCGCAAACCTGTCATTTCAACGACAAAAGCCCATTCCCAGTTGTACCAACTACACTCCTAACACACTAGGGCGCATTCAGTCAGTTACTCAAACTGAGAGTACATCCTACGAAACAACGGGACGTTAAAAGTATTTAACTTTTCCTCTAATATTTTATCCCCCCATTTCCATTCTGTCGCTATTCTCCCCCCTCCCTTCCCAGTCTCATCATCTTAGATTTTTTGACATTTCGACTTCATTCCCTTTGTTTCCCAATACCTCTCCATTCTTCCCCCATTATTTCCTTCATCTGTTCTACCCCTGTTGCCATTACTATGATCCCTCCACTGGGATCAATATTCTTTCCATATCTCTTATGTCTTCTTTCATTGTCCGGAATACTTCAGACTCCTTCCCTCCTATTCTTACCCTCATTCTACTGAATAACTACCGGATATAGGCGTACAAAATGCTAATAAAAGTACCTACCCCTAAAATTTAAAACTACATTCATTTCTGGCATCAGAAATAGTACTTGCAATTAGAAAAACTGAGGTTTTTGACATTGTTTGATTGCTAACTTTGAAAACGTTTTTAAAACTTTCGGTGGTGACTCAAAAGATTCCTTAGACTTTAAGGATTCGATTGTAAAAAAGAGAACTCACTTATCTTGAACGGTTTAAGGGATATGTTTTATGTCTAAAAAATATGTGTACCAAATATGGTTCCAGTCGGTTCAGCCGTTTAGCCGAAAATGAGCGTACAGACATACAGACCGATCGACATCCTCGAGATTTTGTCTGATTCGGATTCCTGGTGCTTCAAAACGTGTATTTCCGTCAAAAGTGTGGAGTCATTTTTTACCCCAATTCAATATAATGCGTGCGCGGGTGGTCAAAAATAGAAAATGGAATAAGTTTCTATTTTAAAAAACCAACTTCCGGTATTTACGGAATCGGCGCCATCTTGAAATTATTTTATTTCAATTCGCAATGGTCGATTTATGGCTGTGAACCAAGTTTCTATTTCAATTGCACGTTTTAAAAACTTCTAACGAACGGGCTACGTAAATCCCCCTGTATACAGTGGATCGTTCCCCTTCATTTCCATATTTCCCATTTGTGTTTCCGCCAGCATCTTCTGTTTCTAATCTTTAATTTAATACCTTTGCGTAGATCCGGTATCATTATCGTGATTCCCCTATAAATTTCTATACAATCTGTATCACCTTTTTCGTGAATCGGCACTAGTACCCTTTCCTTCCATTTTTCAGGTAGCCTCCCTCCTTTCCATACCTTGTTTATTAGTTTCCTCAGCTTCTCCTTGATACTATCTGTGGGGAAAATTCAAACCCTGATTTCCTATTTCATCGCTCCCTGTCGCTTTTCTTTTCCTCAGTTTCTTTAATTGCTGCTCAATATCTTCTCTTGATATCTCTTTTCTCTCCCATTTGTTCTGTTTTTCCTTCTTCCTCAGTTCATCATCTTCCAAAGGTCCTTCTCTGTTTTTATTCTTTCTGATGCTCCGTTTTTCTTGTTTTACACTTTTCTTTGTACTTTTTTCTGTTCTCTCAACTACTTCTCCTCTATTTCTCCTCTTCTTTCTTTCTCCATCATTATTCTATATTTGTTTCTCCTTTCTGTATATTCTCTGTCCCATCACTGCTGTCTATTATCGTTTCCTTCTCCTTCATTTACCTGTTTTTATGTTTTTTTAATGCTTTTATGATTTTGTTCGACTGTCTGTCCGTCTGTTCCTCGTTTAATCCGGGAACGAGCGATGTCAAACCTTCGACAATCGATGTCTGCAACTTCAAGGCTCAGTGCTATTTCATTATGAGCCGAATTAAAAGTCGGGTTTTCAAATGCTAGCCGAGTAGCAAAAAAATCACCTACTGAAAATGGTATGCGATTCTTCGTATCTTGTCCTCTGTACTGCCTCCTATTTCTGCTTCTTGCTCCCCTAACCTCCCTCTGTACGGCTCCACAGTGTCTCTTGTCCATAACTCTTTTCCTCTTTGCATCTCTCCGTTCCTTGATCTTTTTATCTTCCCTTTTAGACTCGTTTCCATGGGTTGGTGGTCGGATTCTATCGTTATTCTTTCCTTAAATTCTTCTATTTCTTCCAGTATTATCCTCATCTTATTCTCCTTCACTTCCACTCGCCTTTCTTGTAATTCCTTGTTCCATCTTCTTCTACAACTATTTATCTTCCCGTTTTTTCTTCTGTCCATACCTACACAGCTATGCATTTTTGTTTTGAATTTACTATTGGCCGTTATCGACCTCCATCCTTTTCTCACTTCTATCCTATCTCCATAGATGCGATAGTATAGTAAATCTCTTCCTCTCTCAGTTGCATGTTCTCTTGTGTTTTCCTGTTTGTAGTAATACTCATTTTCCTTTGTCCCTACTACTCATACATTTCTTTCCAATATACCTAATATATCTCTAACCCCCCCCCTCTTCTTCCGCACTTCAATAGACCCAAAATTACATTTTATTTATATATTTATTTTAATCTTTTGCTAACTTTTCCCATATACCCAGGACCGGACCTACATATTTTGCGCCTATGGGCCCCTCGAAATCGCCGCCTCTCCCCTCTCCTCTCGCTCCAATCAACTAAAAAGCATTTGGTACC